TTAGAAAAATGATAATTCAACATAGCTGAGGCACAAATAACTTACTCTTTAAAAAAATTACTTTTTAAAATTTATCTTTATCTAAATCTTAGCTTTTCTCTACCTTCTGTTTATAGATTTAAATATTCAAGTAGGTGACAAGCAAAAAGAAGCCTTGGATGCTATGCAAAGTTTACCAATTATCATCAATAAAGTTTTAAGCGCCCGTGAAAAACTGAGGCGTGTAGAAGCAGCCCTGGGCAAAGCTGTTAATGAAGCAGAGGCAGCCAGGAGAATATCTGGTGAAGCAAGGGAGATTGCTGGGAACATTGATCAGGTACAGAGGAGCGGAAAAGAGTGGTTGTGGCTATGGAAGAACTAGTGAGCTTGAGGATGGATGGCAATTTGATTTTCTTTCATTTGAATGTATATCCTTAAAGGTTTAGATTGAATAGCATGCCATCCTTCAAAACTTCAACAAATGCAGGAAGACATTGTTCTTTACTTGGCATTTGGATACAACTTCAGATTATTCAGAATCTGTCATGGATACTTTCATGTATTCATTCTGACAAGAAAATTATTAGATAGGTCAGAATAATTGAGAGCCAATTTGGTCTAGAGATTAAGGCACCAGGCTGGAGACTGGAGTTCAAGTCCTGCCTTAGCCATGAAAGCCAGCTGGGTGACTTTGGGCCAATTACTCTCTCTTGGCCCAGTCACCTCAGAGGTTTGTTGTGGGGAAAATAGAAAAAAAATATGCTTGATATGTTCACCATTTTCAATGATTTGTAAAAATAATAAAAGCAGAATACAAATAAATATAGAAATAATTATCTCATATTGCGGATGGGCAATTGAAACTGGGAACTATTGGATTGTCTGAGACCACTGCACATGTTCTGGCAAAATGATTTACATCAAAGACTTGCCCTCTCTCACTTGAGTTGCTTACCATTATTGCTATAGCAGCTTTCATTTTATCTATAGATTGGATAAAAGTATTTGGCAGGAACTGGAGGGATCAACTGATCCTTTGTGGTTATGTACATTTGATATTGCTCAAAGGTGAATATTGATTTGGGTCTGAATCCATAATTAAGGGTACCATTACTTTTCAGCATTGGGGAAAATAAAAAATACTGAAAGTAAGGAGGCTCCTGTTCTAGTTCACAAAAATTCAGTGAGCAATATTAGCTCCATCACTTTCTCTCAGTCTAATCTATCTCTCAGGGCATTAGTAGGGAAACATGTGGAAAGAGCTCTATGTATGAAGCCTTGAACTTCTCCATAAACATGGGGGGGGGAACCTGAAAAACAAAAGAGGTATCTGATAGAATCATTGGTTTTGGTTTTTTTTGGGGGGGGTTAGTGTCTCAGGTTTGTGAGATTACTTAAAAATTGTTACAATTGCTTATTAATTCTACACTTCAAGCCATCAAACTTGTTTCTTCAAATAGCCATCAGAATATCCTTTGTTGATTTTCTTATATTTATTTCTTGTATTTGCATTTCCAGGAGATCGGAAGGCTGGCCTTGGAAGCAAATCGGACAGCAGATGGTGTGCTTGTCTTGGAGAGTGGGATCATGTCTCTGAAGCATGAGGTCAAACTTGTGGGGGAAGAACTGAAAGAAAAGGCAAAGAAGATTGACATGGATGCCTCCATGGCTCAAGGGGTAAGTTTCCGACTTTGCCTTTTTATAGTGGGAGCTTTGAAGAAACTTCTGTTTCCATTGGAAAGCCTACTGAGCAGGTTAAGATAATCTAGTATTGATATTTCTCTAGATAACTGAGGCATCCCAGACAGCCAGAACCAAGGCTGTCAGTACTGCGAATGCTGTCCAAGACATACTCAGATTCCTAGAAGATGTTTCGCGCACGATAGGTAAGAAGCAAAGTGGTTTCCGTTTATGGCTAAAACATAATTTGGGTTCATTAGTGAATGATTCAAGGAAAGTCAATTAATCAGGTTAAGTCAATTAAAACAGACAACAACAAATGTGTGCTGATCATTGAACACGAGGGCAAATAATTTTTATCATCATTTGAATTCTTATGTTAGTCTGTAAAAGTATGAAAGGGATATTCAATGTGTACTTTTCACTTATTTGGGCTATTTCACAAAGACAACCCTACTGAGATATCAACGATAGAGAATATATGATAATATTATATAAGCATTTAATAAAAAGCAGTTCACTTAATATTTTTGATCTTCACTTAAAATCCTCACTTAAAATTTAAAAGCCAGTTTAGCAAATTTATTGCTCAGATAAATTTTACAGATGACAACCAAAAGCTTGAATTGTACCTCAAACCTACTGGGAGCCAATGCACCTTCATGACGGTTTAGAGGTGTAGTTGAACATCATCAGCATACTGTGCCTTCAGATGACCTCATCCAATGAGTTCATGTAAATGTTAAACAGGAGTGGGGTGAATGTCAAGCCCTGAGGACCTCCACCCTCCATCAACACCAAAACTGATCCCAGAGGAAGGGAATGAAACCAGCACAAGATAACAACATCCTAATCAACCCATATCCAACCAGGCCCCACATAAATACTACGTATAGAATAGCCCAAAGCACATATTCTGGTAGGGAGAAGTTCCCTGAGGATAAGCTCCAGCATGAGTCCAAAAGCTTGGAAGACCAAACCTTTGGTCCCGGTGAATCCTGCAACAAGGTAATGTCCCCAACTTTTAAATATGGTGTTGGTCCAAAACAATACCATAATCAATGGTATTGAAAACTACTGAGAGATTAAGGAGAACAAGGATGGATAAACTACTTCCATCTTATTCATAAGTCATACATAAATCTGATCAATGATGTCTTAGTCTCATAACCAGTATTAAATCATATTGAAAAGGGTCTAGATTATCTGCTTCCTCTAGCTCTCCATCTTCCTGTCTGAAGCTCCAACATAATCATCTTCTTAACAACCTTCCTTAAAAAGGAAACATAAATTGTCCATAAATTGGTCAGGTCTAGCAATGGATTCTTGAGCAGGGGGTAGAACACTCCCTCTTTAAGTATTCACAAGACCATCCCCTCTCTCAAGGATACATTTATCATAAACATTGTCATTTTCCAGAGGAATCTGAGAAAAAAGTGGGCATTGGCTAACAAGTTCAGAAAGTAGTATTATAAAGATTTGATTCTTGGATTATGAGGCAGCTATCTATGTAGCAGTTTGGAACTATGGGTTTAGCACAACATATTCTTCTGTTACTCTTTTGCTAGGACAACTAGAGGGTGTGGATGAGCAAAGTGTGAACAGGCTTGAAACTGATCTTGGCAACGCAAGAACAAGAAACAACCAGTTGAAAAAAATGATGCTGCAGCTGGAGGAAACAGCCAGCCGGCAGAAGCTTCGAGTCCAGACACTGGACAGTAGCATTACTGAGATCCTTGTAAATATCAAGAACTTGGAGGTGATCCAGGATACTCTTCCTCCAAAATGTTACAATGTACAAGCCATTGAGAGACCTTGAAGACCTTGTTGGGAAAGCAGACATCCATCAACCCCATTTACCAAGCCACGGACAAACATCAGGGTTGGAGAAATGATTTTGGGGTGAAATGAAGAGATGCCTGCCTTACAAAAATGGCTGCTTGTGACCCTTGGGAGGCTTGTTCATCAGGTTGGGATGGCAATTCCCTTACTCTGCCTTCTGAGGCAACCGCTACCTTTCAACAGCAGCACAGTTTGAAAGGAATATAATTCAAGACACCCCCCCCCCGAAAAACAAGGGGGAAACAGTCTGATCATATGACAGAGAAGCCAACTGTAAAGAACACAGTGTGGAAGAGGCTGGATAAATAGGATATGTATCTTCCAATATATAAAACCTTATGTATTTTTTCTGGCTTCACCTGGAGGTGCTATCTCAGACGGTAATATACCATTGACTCTCAGCTTTATTTAGCCGTTGGTCTTCTTTTCTTCATTTGTGACTTGGTAGAAGAAAATGGATGTTGCTGCACCCTGCTAAATTTATTCTATTCTATTATCAAATTCTTAGTCAATGAATAATTAACTTTTCCACTAAGCATTCTAGAAATACCTTTTCTTTCCAAAAACATTTCCCCTCCCACTCCCATCTCTGATGGCTGTTAAGATAATCCTACAGGAGATGGAACATGTATCTATCCATAAACCTAAACTAGTTTTACAGTAATTACCTCAGGCTAGGGATTCTGCTAACTCTCATTCTGTGATAGGAAGGAGATTTTAGTAGAGTGTTCAGTAAACTGGTGGAAAGATAATTCCCAAGCAGGGAAGTATGGGCCCTTATACACAGGTTACATAAGCTTGTATAAATAGACCTGCCTTTGATAATTCCTTCATTTCCCTTCATTTACTTTATCTTCACTTACTAAATGACAAACTAGGAAGGGAATAATTTAATAAAGGTAGTGGTCTAAGAGGTGGATTTTGGGGGGGGGTAGTATTATATCACCTCAGGCTGAGGGTGGCATTCAGGTCACTTCTTTGTCGATTTAGAAGATTCAACCCTCGTCCCAAGATTTATTACACACTATGGTTTTATTCTTTCTTGCTGAGATTCAGAATCAATTTCTTAAATACAAAGTAAGATCTACTGAGTTAAATTAAGAAAAAAGATAGATTAACACTTTGGACATGAAAAATCTTAATAAACGGTTGGCTGAATTAGGATTAATATGAACTGGATTAAACTTACATTTGTGCTTGTCCATATTAATAAAGCCCAGCAGTTAGGGTATATCCCAGCAGGAGGTTTCTTCAAAAATATTATAGTGATCCATCTACTCTCTCAGACAGCATTAGTTAGAACAAATGATTCAATAAAACCCAGTGGTTTCTACACAAAATGCTGACAGTGTGTTCAGCCTAGCATATTTGCACAGCTGAATACTGTATCTAGTTTGTTTCAATCTTTTCTAAAGAGAGAAAAAACCTTTTGTCATACTGCAAACAGAAAATATGCCCCAAATTTCCTAATATCAAAGCAACACTAAAATCCAACAAAATGTAATTAGCATAATTTTATTTCTTATATCCTTTTAAACATTTTTCCAATTTCAACATTGTCTTTGTGATCGTGACCATTTTAGCAATAATGATCGAACTCCAGCATATTACATCAGTGTAAAAACTGACATTTTCAAATCTTTTTTTTCCTTTTAACATTTTTTTAAACAAAGCAAAGTTTAGTTTAAAATGGCAGGTTCGGTAACGACAAAGAATTTTCTTCCTTCCCTGTGCAGCTAAAATCCATATTGTGTGTCAAGGCAAATCAGTCTGATAGTCAAACTCCAACTTTTACCAAAGCAGTCCTACTTGCATGCGCCAAATCAGTGTTTCTCAATCTTGATAACTTTAAGAGGTATGGACTTCAGCCCCTGGAAGCCTGGCTGCTGGCTGGGGAATTCTGGGAGTTGAAGTCCCACACCTCTCCCCCACAATCATAAGCATAACTGAGAATATGAAGGCAAAGAGTACTGCAGTAAGACTTTATATCCATAATCTGTATCACAATGCTACATTTCTAAGACACGCTGTCTTAAACTGGATGAAAATTGGAAAGTGGCCCCAATAATCCATCTTTTTTTGTTCAGAGAAACGGAGAGATCGTCCTGTTATTTCCTTGTCATGTCCTACCTGTTTGTGTTCAACCAAAATTGTCCTTTACGCCTTTTTGGGAAGGCTAGGCTTAGAGTCTCACACACACATACAACCACACACAGAAAGAGAATCACACATGCTCGCACACAGAGTTGACTATGTGGTTGGGGGGCAGCTTGGCATTAAGACCAATAGTGGATTGCAGCAGGAAGTGGCTGTAACGGAGGCAAGTGAATGAGAAAATGCTTTAGAAGTTGTAGCTGACATGTATCACAGGACAGCGGGAGGGCGGTATATCTTATCAGAGTCACCGTCTCTTGGATATCTGTCTATGGTAGCAGTGACTGCCCAGGGTACTCAGTGCTTTGGATGCTACAGTAAATGATGAGGATGAGCCTCATCAAGACATCTCTGTCTGGTTTCTAAGTGCTTGTTTGAATGGCAGCTGGTTCTTATGCAACACTTCACATCTGAGATTGTGCACCCAAGGAATTCAGCAGGATATTGTCATACCTTGTTTGCTCACATTTCACAGGGAAATCCACATGACATTTACCAACCATCTGTATTTTTCTCCCAGGGCTACTTTTATAAAAGACAACCTTTGTGAGAATAAAAGAATAGCATAATATCCACAAGTGTAAATTATGATCGTGCTAACCCATTTTTTTTAGGGTACGGTTTAGATGCAGGCACTGACATTAATTCTCGCAATGGGCGTTAATTTAGAAACCCATTTTTCCCCATCAATCTTTTAATTAGTACTAAAGTGCATCCCTGGCTATAGGTTTTTTTTAAAAAGAGATAAATGACATAAATAGAAGAGTATTAAAACACAGTAACACTTCAACTTTGTTTTTTTTAAAAAATCCCCATCTTTCTGGCTGACTTTTTTTTTTCTTACCAGTTCTGTCCTAATTAAATACTTCTAACTTTGCAGTCTAAAACAGGCGAACTCATTCAATGAATAAGCACACAGCACAAAATAAACAGGTTATTATTTTTTTTTTCCATAAAAAGGGTCACTAAGGTTTCCCCTATCCCATAGCTGAACTGATCCTCCTGGTCTATGTGCTACACTGCCAGTAGTGTGGAAAACTCAAGCTGTTTTCCTGATTGTGAAGCTGCCATTTGCCACCACTGATATTCTCCAATGATCCTAGCCCCTCTCAGTATTCATAACATCCACACGCTACTAAACAGTCATATTGGTGGACCATTTAATCCACTCCAGCTATTACGTAGCTTTTTTGTAATTGTTGTGTTTCGGAGAGGGTTTGTTTTCCGCATGGAGGATAAAGTGTCTATTTTACAGCATAAACTTCAGCAGCAGCTTCTTTCCATCAAGGGAAAGAAAATCTATGGAAAACAAGCTGCCAGACTGTAGGACCATGTACAGTTGTTGCCTACAAGAAATATACATGTACTTCCTTGACAATAATGAACTGAAACAGCCTACAAATATAAAATCAGCCACAGCACACCATGAAAAGTAGTTAAACTCCAGATGGGTTTCTGAAGAACATGAAAATCCAGGGACAGACGACTGAGGGCCACATCACTATCATTCGAGAGACCTGTGTTCTGTGGTTCTTTCCCCACTTTTAAGAAATGCTCCTTTTAAAAAAGATGTGAGAGTACAATCACAACCAAAATAAAACCATGTCATCCTCTCCTTCTGAAACAGATATCTATTTACAATGGGTGGAAGGGAGGGAGAGATGCTAAATAGAGAAGCAAACTTGCTTTCTGAGCTTTTTACACCTTTTCTCCACTCACCTTTAAAAAAAGATTCTCATTGCAGAAAAGCATTATGGATGGGCAGTTCTATTTTTCTGCTTTCTCTTCTGTTCACTGCTAAATTCTTCTATCAATGTCCTGAAATATCTGGTGGGCGTTTAGTTTTTAATAAGCTTGCCACCTCATTGTCACCGTAAAGATGGCAATTATATATATAAAAAAGCCAATTTAGGGGTGGGGGGGAGTGTTGAGAAAGCAAATGAGAAGCAGTAAAAATAAAAAGCCCCACTGAGATTTATTTAGCCAAGAGGGGAAGAGAGGAAGGGATAATGTTGTTTCCCTTGTTGCATGCTGGGAAGGGCAATCCTAATCTTCCCCCTTTTAAGTAATGGTGCCTGATATTCTTTACTCTTTTCCCTCCTAACTGCAAGGGGAGAAGGGTTGATGGCATATGTACTTGGCTGTTAGCTGTAGGCCGCAATTCCTAGGGCTGGAAAAAAAACAAACCAGAGTGGAATAGGCAGATGCACGCAAGAGGCATTGAAAAAGAAAGAAAAGTGAGAAAGAGAACAGTGATAAACAATCATAGGAAGGTGGCGCCACATGGCAGCTTTGCCACAATGCCATTAAGAGCTTTAACCGGAGGCATTCAGGTACAGCTGGCTCTTGAGGATGTAATCAATGACTGGCTGACTCAGGTAATCCACCACGTGCCCATCGCCATGCTGAAGGGCCAATCTGTGAGGGGAGGGCAGAGAAAGAAGAAGGAAGAGAAAAGCATGAATCAAATTACTTTAAAACCAGACAGGCATATTGTCCAGGCCACCTTTCTTCTGGTTTTTCCTATGCTAACCCCTGCATAATTTGCTAACTGGCCTATTTCCAAGAGACCCATTGGAGAGCAGAGGCAAAAAAAATGGTCCTAAAGTAATGAGCAATTGCTCACTGATGGCAGAGCCTCACTTAACATTGTTGGGAGAAGGGAATTGAGGACTGCAAAGAGAGGTGGCTCGATGACACATGTGGGCAGAGTGAGCATCATCTGTGACAAGTCTGTCAGTTCCTGTACACTTTTCATCAGTTTCCCACCACAAATTGTGTCACAGCTTCTAGTAATTATGGTCAGAAGATGCTCCAAGGCCTGCCAAAAAGGGGAATCAGGCTGCATGTATATCTAGAGCTACAAGTGATCCACTCCTATCCTAGTGTATTGCCTAACCCTTGTGACATATCTCACTTGGGGGGGGGGGAGAGACATTTTTGCTTAACCTAACTAAGAAATAATCTATGCAAAGAGCCATTAATGTAGCAAATGGAATCCAGGATATAATTTTTCTCCAACCCACACCTCATGCCAACCGAAGACAGTACCCCAGGGAGAATTTAAATTGTCTGCTCTTTATGCAACAAATGTTGCATATATTAGTGAAATATAAACAAGTTAAAACTAATTAAAAGTTCCCTCCTTTGCCAAAGTTTTAAAATTCTGGATGAACTCAGCTGCAGCTTCCACAATTTATTTCTTTTCAACTCTACAGTGCCCTTAAAACAATCATCAGAACACTGCCGTTATTTTGTATAACAAACTTCCTGCCACATTTAGAGTTTCCACAACAGTCAAAAAGGGTGAAGGAGGGGGGGGGAAAACAACTTTGTAGCTCTAATCAGCAGGCAGGATTTATGGGTTACATCCCAGATTTTCCTGCCTGTTCATGTATTTTATTCTGTATACACAGGAAACAATTGGCCACTTCAGAATCTGACATAATAGAGGAATAAAAAAGAGTTCTGTCGTAAAGGTAATCCTTGACTTAGGACTAAAATTGGGGTCAAATTTCTATGGCTAAGCAAGGAAGGTGTTAAGTGAGTCGGGCCCAACTTTATGAACTTCTCTGTCAGAGCGGTTAAGCAAATCACTGCAGTTGTTAAAGGAACCATGCAGTCATTAAGCAAATCTGGCCTCCCCCATTGACCCTGCTTATCGGAAGCCAGCTGGGAAGGTTGCAAATGGCGATCACATGACCTCTGGACAGTGCAATTGTCATAAATACACGCCAGTTGCCAAGTGTCCGAAGTTTGATCACATGGCCACAGGGATGTTGTGACAATTGTTAAGTGTGACGACTAGTTTTTAGATACTTTTTTCAGTGCTGTTGCAACTCTGAACTGTCACTAAACAAATGCTTGCAAGTCGAGAACTACCTACATTATCAAATACTCTGTCCTTGAATAGATGTCTGTCTCTCCAACCAAACCAGTTTGGAAATTTCTTAACCATGATCTTGCTGCTATTTTGTTCCCTCCCCAGTAAGTCACCTTCCCCTCACTTACCTGCTTTTAGTGGAACTGACAATAGCCATGGGGTGATTCACATCATCCTTCACAACCAGGATATTGTTCTGCGGAGGAAACATTGCCAGGGATATAAACATGAATCTTTCCACATGCTCACTGAAGCAGGATATTAGAATTTAAGATTTGTAAACTCAATAGAAGGGCCTTTCCAGTTACGGCATCCTTACCTTAGAATGCCATCCCCTCCCCCATTGTTTCTGAGCTCTATCTTTAAAAAAAGGAACAGTAAAATTGTACTGAATTGGTATTTTGAGCGGAAGAGTTGAACATTTTTATTTAGACATTATCTTTCACTGTAAATTATTTTAAACTAACCTAGTATTTATTGTATTCCAAATTGTTTTTAATTAAAATTGTTTTTTTAAAAAACAAAACTCAATGAATTGTAAATCTCTGAAAGTGTTGTATTCAGCTATCTGGCAGAATAGAAAAAAAGAGGAAAGCTATTGCAAAACAAAACTAATTGTATTCAATTCCCCCCCCCCTCTAAATAGCTCAGATTAAGGTTGGGATACACAAACCAAAAGTTAGGGGAATCCAAGTCTCAGTCAGATTCTACAGTAGGTTATTCCTACTCTTCTTTTGCTTGCCTTTCATATCTAGCAAAGCCATCAATTTTTTCTGAATCAAAGGCCTATGCTCAAAATAATGTGGCACTTGCTCACTTTTGTCAGCATCCTTGCATTTTAAAGAAGGGGTTAAAAACATATTGCTGCAGGTGAAAATCCAAGTTTAAGAGACTAAAACACTTAATGACTTTATCCTGAGCCTGCTTAGGACATGTTAGCCCTTCAAAGTAGTCCAGAAAAGAAGCACAGTTATGAGTGCTAATTTTGTTGTGAGGTTTTGGAATCTTGCAAGACTATTTCTTCCTTCCTCTCCTTTTACTCTCCAGAAAACTAGGGAGGGTCCCTGCTGAAATGTTTCCCCTGCAGCATCCTTCTTCTGTAGACTGAAATCTCTTTTATGGGAAAGGATGGTCTGTGGCCGTCCTTTCTGTCTCCCAAGATCATTTCCAAATACCATTACTGGACAAGAAGGCTATTCTTATCCTTGACTGTTTGTAGGAGATGAGTCTGAGGGAGGAGTCAAACGCATCATAAGTCACGAGTCCCTTCATGCCCGCAAGAGATTTAAGTCCAGGCCACCTTGAATGCCTCTCTTTACTTTTCCCACATTTTCCTTAATGGTCAGTTGGCCAGATTCTTATAGAGAGCTTAAGCTTGCAATAAATCTTTATACTCATTTGAACTGTCTTTGTTTTCCCTGGCATTTGGCACTATTTCCAGGCAAAGTTCTTCTACTGTCCTGGCTGCAACTTCCTCAGAAACCTAGAAGACAGAATTCCAATAGAGTTCCTGCCCATTATGTAGACAAACCTGAAATGGACAACTGTATTGTAATGGAATGTGTGGATGATCTTGGGGTACTAGGGGGAGAGAAGCTGTCTAGGAAACAATTAGACAAAAGGGACAGGAACCCCCAATGGATTAATGCTCAGAGGAAGAAATTTAAGAAGGACCTGCCATAATTGTTCAGGCAGTTAAGAATGGCGGAGGTTTATACCTTCAGACTTGCAAGATTATCTTAATGTAGCTTTACAGCAAAGTAGAATTAGCTCATCTAGTCATGCCTCCTATCTGGTTTACCTGGGAGAGCTGACATGTATGCAACCAGAGAGGTTCAGGAAAGCAGTATTGAGTCCCAGCCTAGAGTCCATTTATCACTGCAATTTTAGAACAACAAAACAACAAAACTTACTTTATACTTGCGAAGTATAGAGGAGTGGTTCATGATTCTCTCGGTATCAGCACCATCTCGTGGGACAACAACGATGCCAAAGTCCCCCACAATCACCTCCATCTGTTTATTAGAATGAATATATTTTTTGAAAACACACATTTACAGAAACTTTTTCCTAAATCTGAATCAATTTTGTGGTTATTGGCTTCCAGTGAAGATGTATTCTATGCACTTGGTTATTTATATTTGAATCCTTTTTCTTGCTAATCTGTGTTTTTTTTTCTGTCTCTCAAAGGCTTCCACAGAGTTTTCAAAAACATAGCACACAGTTCTGGTTGAATATTGTGAACTATAGATACTTGTGGGGAAATCAATAAAAGAACAACAGAGCTGGAAAGGATCTCGGAAGTCGTCTAGTCCAATTCCCTATTCAGGCAGGAAATCCTATACCATTTCAGACAAATGATTGTTCAACCTCTTCTTAAAAACCTATAGTGTTGGAGCACCCACTACTTCTGGAGACAAGTCCCTCCACTGATTAATTGTTCTAACTAACAGGAAATTTCTCCTTAGTTCTAGGTTGGATCTCTCCTTTTTTTTAAAAAAAAGTTTTATTGATTTTTAAGAATTACAATCTTTAGTGCTTAGTAAACAACATTTTTAAGAATTGGTAAACAACATTTTTAAGAATTACAATCTTTAGTGCTTAGTAAACAACATGTTGTCTGGGTTCAGATATTTAACATTAACTTCTTCAGTATAAATCTGTTCAGTACTACACAATCCAGTATTTTTTTCTCCTGATCCTCTTTTCTTCCTCATATTTTTTCCATTTTTCCCTCATTACACAGTTACAATTTTTGGAACTGTTGATATAAGCATCTTCATCATATTTTACTAATGATACAAATAATAATATCAGTTCATAAATCAATAATATCAATTCATAAATCAATATCCTATTTTTGTGTGCTCTTGTTAAGGTTTGATTTCCCATCAGCATTTAAAATCTTTGTCAGTTATAATTTTCTCAATATTAATTACATTTATATAGCTGTAAGTTTTATTCATACCAATCCTCCTCTTATTTTCATATTTCCCATATTAAAAAAAAGAAAGAAAAAAATATTATTTTAGTTCTAAATCATATCTTTCATTATAAAAGTCTAATTATATCTAAGGGTCGTCCATTCTTTTAATCTTATTCAAACAAGTATTTAAACATATAATGCCCCCTCTAAAAGATCAAGTCTTCTGTTTTTTTAAATATGACTCTCACTTTCTTACTTTGCCAAGTAGCTTTCTAAGCCAGAGTAATTAGATCACGCAGGAATTTTTTTTTCTGTTTTTGTGAAAATTGCTTGGCATGAGAAAGACAATTTAGGTAGGGTATTTTGGGGGAGGAATTCCACCCATTTATATTCCTTAACTAACTCCCAGTTTCCTTCTCCCTCAATTTCTCTTTTCATTCCCTGTCTCCCATGTTGTAACATTTCCCCTAACAGCTCTATATTCCATTTTTTCAAAATCTTCTTCCTTGCCATCAGATGTATTTTGCAGACCTAAGGGGTAAAGTGTCTTTTGCATTTTCATTATTATGACTAAGTCTTGCAGTATTTTGTTTGTATATGGTTGTTTATATTTCCCTTCTTTTATCTCTTCAGTCTCTAAATCCATTTCCTATGTTTCATCTTCTTATTTCTGGTTTATTTGTTCATACTTTGTAGTTGTTATCTGGGAACTTTCTAGTTCAGTGGTTCTCAACCTGTGGGTCGGGACCCCATTTGGGGTTGAACGACCATTTCACGGGCGTCACCAAACAAGGCTGTCTTTCCCCCTTTTCTTTGGCCACGCCCCTGGCACCCGGTGATGTATAAGTGGTTGGGGGTCACCACAACATGGGGAACTGTATTATGGGGTTGCGGCATTAGAAAGGTTGAGAACCACTGTTCTAGTTGTAGATTTAATTTGAAGACTTGCTCATTTATATTATCTAAATTGTTTTTAGTCTCATTGTGATTTCTTTTTATGTCCTCTTTGTATATGACAATTGTTTGGTGAATTAGTTGTAGCACAGAGTATATTTCCTTCTGAAAAGTGTTTGTTTTTTCTTGAGGCATTGTTTGTGGAAATCCTCTAGTATCACCAATCTCAGTAAGAGTAATTCTAAGTTTCCTCTAGTTTTCTGACCATTATATGTAGCCTTTATAATCCAATAGATTCCAGAGTATAGATCCAGTCCTGAAAGCAATATTTTATAGTGATCTTTTGCCTCAAGTATTCAAAAATTGTCAGTCAGGCAAGGTTGTAATCCACAATGTTCAAAGTGTTCAAAATGTTCAACCTCCCTGAGAACAGCTCAAAAGTCTCTCCCAGCCAGACATACTCCAAGATCAAATTTTTCTTTCTCTCCCACTAGCTCTTGAGGTTAAATGTCCAAGCTCAGTAGGTATTTATAATCCAAGAAGGTCAAGGTGATGTATAAATATTTTCCTTTATTGCCAGCTGTTCTCCCAAGCTAGGAATCACCAAGCAGCCAGGAAGCAAATTATAGTGCTGTACACAAATCCACCATTGGATGTCATTCAAAGTCCATTTTCCACTCTTAAGACAAAGGGTTGATTTCTTATATTTCGCCTCAATTTTAAAATCTTAACAGTTATCTCAGTTCTCAAATTTATCAAAACTGTAGCTTTATGTTACTTCCAGTTCAGTATTATGTTTCTGTCCCCCATAAAATTAAAACACTGCTTCCATTCACATTCGGAGGTTTTTAGCTTCTTGGGAACCTTTCCCAGGAAATTCAGTGGTAAAATAGTAAAGAAAGAATCAAATTTCTCACCCAGTGTTTACAATTTGTTAATTGATGCTTTTTCTTCCTCCATTGTCAGCAACTAACGGCCAGCCACAGGAATGTAGCCAGTCTTTCCCCTGTGGTTGGGAGGGTTTTCCTTGGACTGAACGGAAAGACCACCATCTCTCCGTGATCAACAAGGCACCCTTCCTCTTCATTGCCTCTTTGGGGCAATTTTAGGCCCTTTTTAGGGCCCCCAGCAGAGCAAAATCGGGCATGGAAGGCAGAGCCGTGCCTTCCTGTATCCTGTTCCACGACCACGCAAAACCAGAAGTCTGGCTGGATCTCTCCTTGATTAGTTTCCATCCATTGCTTCTAGTCCTGCCTCCAGGAAAATAGGTTGACCTTCTCTTCTTTGTGACAGCCCCTTAGTTATTGGAACCCTTTATCATGTTACCCCCTAGTTCTTCTTTTCATCAAACTAGATATAACCAATTCCTGCAACTGTTCTTCCTATGTTTTAGCTTCCAGTCCCCTAATCATCTTTGCTTTTCTTCTCTGTACTTTTTCTAGAGTCTCAACATATTTTTTTACACTGTGGAAACCAAGGCATGGATGCAATATTCCAAGTGTGGTCTTACCAAGGCATTATAAAGCTTATTATAAAACATGTCATGTGATCTTGATTCTATCCCTCTGTTAATGCAGCCTAGGACTATGTTGGCTTTTTTGGCAGCACACTGCCAAAAAAGCCAACACAGTCCTAGGCTGCATCAAGGCATCTCTACAACTCCCTTTGAAAGATACTTTCACTCATATGAAATCCAACATAAATATGCATTTCCATGTACCTTGAGATCAGCTAAAACATTCTCCCTGTGCTGCAAGAAATGATGATCAAACGATATGGCTTCCATTGATTAGAACAAAACATCAATAAATATAGCGAAAGGCAAATGCTCCAAACCGGAATACCGATCAAGTTATTGTTAGAATTGGCCCACTTATTGGCGATGATGTGTTTATATTACAAAAATCTTTGGGGAGATTTGAGGAAATGGTAGGCAAATGAATCAATGTTCAGGAAGATGTTCAGATGTTGAAGTTACTAGAAAAGCACTTATTCTCAAAGGAAGAAAATGACTTGGTTAATCTATATGGGGGAAATTAAAGAAAGTAATACTGTAGTATAACCAAAGAGTCATGTAAAGTATGACTGAGAATACTCTGGAAACTGCTTACTTTGTAAAGAAATAGGACTAATGAAACTGCATAATATATAGTGCTGAAGATTTGCTTCTATGAAGTTACAAGCACTGAGAGATGCAAGCCAGCTGTATGATGAGAGGTAGTAGCCCAAATCCAGTTCCTACCCTGTATCCATTGCTTTGAGAACCAGAAGGGTGGAGAGAGGAAGGAAAGATTTGATTCACACCTGACTGCCAGAGATCTTGTGGCTCTATAATCTGTGTCCAAAGACTCAACTTTTATGCACATAATCTCTTACAGAAAATTTATTTTCTCATTAAAAGAGGCAAGGGAAAAGAATCCTTTTGCTTTATATACATATACAGGTAGTCCTTGATTTATGACTGCAATTGAGCCCAACTTTTCTGTTGCAAGACAGTTGTTGAGTTTTGACCCATTTTACCACTTTTCTTACCAAGGTTGTTAGGTAAATCACTACAGTTGTTAAGTTAATAACATGATTGTTAAATCAATCTGGCTTCCCCGCTGACTTTACTCGTCAGAAGGTCGCAAAACGTGATCACATGACCTCGGAACACTGTCATAAATATGAGTCAGATGCCAAGAACCCAAATTTTAATCACGTGGGGATGCTTCTGTAAGTGTGAAAAACGGTCATAAGTCACTTTTTCAGAGCCATTTCAACTCTGAACAGTCACTAAATGAATGGTTGTAAGTCAAGGACTATCTCTACTATAGGTTTATCTCTGAGAGGCTTCCCAACCTATGCATTACTCCTGGAATTCTCAACAATAGTTATCCTAACACAGAGATCCCCAACCTTTTGGGCACCAGGGATCGATTCCATGGAGAGAGGTTTTTCCGTGGACCGGACGGAGCGTGATTTTGTGTGCTGCCTGCATCCTACGGATGGGGTCTTGCTTGTTTGTGCGGACCAGTTGCTGGCATGCCAGGCCCGGTACCGGTCCATGGACTGGGGGTTGGGAACCCCTGCCCTAAGGGATGAATCTGGGAATTGCAGTCCTCAGATCTTGAGAGAATCCAGTTTAAAGGGTGAACCAGCACATGCATACATAAGAACATTTAATCAAATCCTTACTACTTTACAGTTGTGAGTAAATAATTTTAAAACAAATTTGGCAAAGGCTGAGGCAAGTATTTTTATTTTCTTGATATGATCGTAAGAATAATCAGTTAATAACCGCCTACTACTGAAACATGAAATTATATTTATTTTCATTACAAAAAAATACCTCTTCAACTGCACTATAAAAATCGCTATTGTTCTTTTACTATTGTCAGAACTGGAAAAGAAGGGGTCATGAACAGAGAAGGTGGAAGTAGCCTGTCAATCTATCAAGCCATCACAAAGTAAACAAAACTCCTCAGGAAGTATATTTTGCTAAATCAGTAGCTACTGTGTGTAAATAGAGAAGAAGGAAGGGAGGGAGGGAGGGAGGGAAGGAAGGAAGGAAGGAAGGAAGGAAGATCACAGCTTTGACCATCTTCTGTTATCTACTCACATCAGCTTCATTCCAGAGGCCTGGGATACAGAAGGACTCCAGCAAATCGCTTCCACACAGCAGCAAGATTCGGAGCTCTGAAGAAAAGAGATACAGAATCTGAGATATTCCCTGGATAACCACTGCCCACTAATCTCTTTGCCTTGATGCAAAGACTTGAAAAAGGAAGGGGAGCAGAAAAGGCAGGGCTTTAAGGCAGAGTTCTGGTTCCTGTGTTGTGAAAGCACTCTAGAAATGTTACCACCTGTCAGTCAGTTTATCTACTTCACCAACCACTAATATTCCTTAAGCAATGTCAGTGTTATCTTCACTTTTGGCAATTTCGTGCACCAATATAATGCATGTTGCAGTGACTTTTATATGCCTGTATAAACACAAAAGCAGAAACTGAATAACAGAGTTGGAAGGGACCTTGGAGGTCTACTAATCCAATCTCCTGCTCAAGCAGGAAACCTATATCATTTCAGATAAATGACTGTCCACTCTCTTCTTAAAAACATCCAGTGTTGGAGCGCCCACAACTTCTGGAAGCAAGTCATTCTACTGATTAATTGTTCTGTCAGGAAATGTCTCCTTAGTTCTAGGTTGCTTCTCTCCTTGATTAGTTTCCATCCATTGCTTCTTATCCTGCCTTCAGGTGCTTTGGAGAATAGCTTGACTCCTTCTTCTTTATGGCAGCCCCTGAGATATTGGAACACTGCTATCATGTCCCCCCTAGTCCTTCTTTTCATTAAACTAGACATACCCAATTCCTGCAACCGTTCTTTATACTCATAAAACCTCTGATGCAGTTGACTGTATCTTTCTGCCTTATGTCTGAAGGGGACTCAGGTTATGGAATGTAGGAAAGTGTTCAAAGAGTTATTTCCATTATGCCATGTTTCACCACCTGACACTCCACTCCATAATGGCAGGGCGCAATAGAATTTGCAGGTAGGTTCCCATAAAATTATATTCAACATCAAGGATAAAGAATCTTAAAAATGTGGAATCTGCTATAGACTGCTAGTTTCTGTCATGCTCCATTCTATGGATTGGCACAAAAAAGGATATTTAAGACAAATGTATTCCAAAATGGACATAGTTGGAAAAGTTGAGTACAAAAAAATATAGAGATTAGGGTAGTTATTTTTGATAAGTGCACATTAGGGGAATGCATAATTCCATGTATTAGGGAAGATTACAGTGATAATGAATGTGGGTTTTTAATTGTAAGATTAATTTACAAACTACAATTATAAATGAAAATGAGTGTCAATGCACATGAAGCAGATTTAGAATGGTTTTTTACACTCCCAATTCATTATTAGGTGCTAGTCAGTCTGAAAAGCAATGCTGGTTCTTTGACATCATGTGCATTTTCTTATCCGGGATGCTGCATAGTATACAGTAAGACAAGTCATTTGGATTCAATCCCAAAAAGATGGCTTGGAAGGAGAGACACAAAGGTGGCACCATTTACAACTCTACGAAACAGCTAAATCTTTTCCTAAAATTTTACAGTCTTGGAAGAGATGCAACCATTGTTTAGAAGTTACAGACAACTGCTAAATTTATAGTCTCTTCATGTTCTAAAGCGCTGGTTGAAATCAGTTCCAAATAATGCGCAGCTTTTCAAGAGTTTTTGCAGAATTCAGTAGTGTTTTTGTAGATGATATATTGCAGTTTTCCCCATCTGACATATACATGCAATACAGCCACCATAAACTCCTACAACCCATTACCTTTACGCCCTGGCCCTTTGCATGTATGGATTGTTTTTCCAACTAAAATCAACATCAATTGCGCAATAAAGTGACCACAACTCTTCTGCCTCTTTTATATGCAAATATGCCCACTTTTACAAGGGCCTATGGATGATGCTCACTTACCAATCTCTTCATATCTCATCACAGTCCCCAAATTAGCATTTTCATCTAGAAAGCAAGAAAAGGAAATTGTATTTCACAGGAAGACCTACAATGAGGTAATCTATTAGTTAAAAACATTATATTTACTAAGCAAATCTTACTACACTCTCAATTATCCTGCCCTTTTACAACTGTACTTAGAGCACCTTTTATAAAGAGTGTAATTAAAAGTAATTACAGTAAAATGAGGGTTCTAAGTAGTGATAATAACAGTGGCTGAAATGAAGCGGGGGAAATTAAATGTGGAAGAGGCTGGCCAGCCCAAATGCTGAATGCGTTATTTCAACTACTTAGTCATCCTCCACATCTAATATATCCCTAAGAGATTCTTCTGAACTCCAGAATATATAAAATGTTTAATCCAGTATTGGCATATTTTGAGCCTGATTTTTGAGCAGATTTTTGAGCCTGAAAAGCAAGTGTGATATTAATTTAAAAAATCATTTTCAGTCCTGGTTTGGATTGATCAACTTTTCTAAAATACATCCAAAGTAATTCAAATATAGTATGTCAGTGTTCAGCACAGTCCTAGAAATACCTGGGGATAAATCAAATGAAACTGGTATTGCCAGAGGCCCATCATCAGCTACGGTTGGTAAAAATCATTTGATTGTTCTGTTTAATTCTACAACAATTTCCAAAGGAAAAGCTAATGTCAAGTGCCGCTGAAATCAGGAGATTCAAGCAGTTCAAATGAGTATAAAGATTTATTGCAAGCTTAAGCTCTCTACAAAAAACTGAGCTACTAACAGTCAAGGGAAATGAATAGGAATAAGAAGGCATTCAAGGTGGGCTGGACTTAAATCTCTTGTGGGCATGCAGTGACTCATGATTCATGACACATTTGACTCCTCCCTCAGGCTCAGCCTGGTCATCTACATCTAGGAAAGAATCTAATTTCAGTCATACAGACAACCACATTTCAACAACATACCCACAAAGGTGAAACGCTCCATTGGGGGACGAACACAACAAATCCTGCTAAGGCTTTCTCCCACTTTCCCCAAAAGTTTTGCTAAGGAAAGAAGGAAAGCAGAGGATAAAATAGAAAAATCAGCATTCAATATAGGTGGAAGTACTACAGTTTACAACTGAACAATATTACCCTTACATTCAATGGCTTTACTCCACAATTTAAAATAACACATGTGTGGATTGTGCATTGATCACCAGAATTTTTTTTATACTTGCTTTGACAAAATGTTACTGCTGTTGCCAACACAAACTCAGCACAAACGTGTGTTTGTTTCAGAGAATTACACAGCAGACAAAAACATGTGTCCTCTCATTCAGATAGGAATCACTAAAATGCAATTTTCCCCTCTGCAGTTTCCGTAATTAACAAGAGCCAAGCACTGATGCTTGTAGTCCAATTTGACCCATGTACTTAAAATGATACTAAATTCAGCCAAAATTATATATTTATTTAACTTAGAGCACCAATTGCTGAGTTATTTTGGCGATACACAATAACATATGCATTGAAAATGAAACTGGGAGACAAAGATACTTTAAAGCAAAAACTGTTAATTAAAATCCACAATGAAAATAATATGTAGTAAAGAAAGTATGACTCCAAATCCATGAACTTCGACAGATATTTCCAGCTAATGAGCAATTACAGCTATTATTAAATGATTGGGTTTAATTTATTTTGATATTTTTTAAAAAAAGATTAGTGTATCATCTTGAGCATGTACATTAAATGTAAAACAGAAATAAATATATATATTTACAAAGTATAAATAGATACTGTAGTGTATCTCAGAATGCCAGATCTGATCTGCCTGGTCGATGCAGGGATGGTGAACCTATGATGTATATCAAAGGTGACAGGCCACGACGTTTTGGGTAACACAAAAATGTTCAACAAGACCCAACAACTATTCTAGAAAGCACGCCCCATTCTTGCACAATTTTGAGAGGCCGCAGAGGGCGATGTGTGCTCTCATGCAACTTCCAGACCCTCCCAAAATCATGTGAAAGGGCCGTGCTCTCACAAGATCTCCAGACTTTTTGAACATGAGTTTTAACTATATTTTATTTTTGTAATTGTTTGATGTTTCTTTGTATAATACTGATTACCACACAACTAGGCTGTATTTTTTTTTTTAAAAAAAAACCTGAATATGTAAAGAGTTGTTTCTCTTTTGTTCATGGGGCAGGCACCAGCAGCATTAAGTTTGGCATTTTCCAAAGTTTTGACACTCTGAGTCCAAAAGACTCGCCATCCCTGTGCTAGACTAAACGGACCAGCAGGGCATTTGTGTTGCATCTGAAGGCAGTAACACCTTCTGATCAAAAAATTAAAAAGATCTATTTCCCCCTTTTTTTCTCTGCCCCCAAGCAGTTGTTTGTATTTGGAACCAAATATTTTAATATCCAGTTCTCACTGGATAATTAGGATTAGTGGTTTGCAAGATAAAAAATTCGCCCTACGTCACTCCAAACCCACTCCAAGCACGCACCATTGCAGCTGTTCCAGTCAGTTTTCCTCCTATTTTCTTGTGTACTCTCTACCACCTGCTGAAGCCAAGAGCAAACCAGGTGTGCCAGTCAGAAGGTGAGAAAGAAGCAGATGAAAGGATGAGGAATGGTGGAAATGCCTCAACGTGCAATTTAGTGGAAGGTTTGTAATTAGGGACTGGCAGCTATCCTGAGTACAGATTATAAAGATGAATGAGAAAGTCTGATTGAAACATTTTGGTTATTTTGGATGGAAGAGGACATGGCTTTCCCCTCCAGATGTCAAAGTGCCAAAAATCTAATCTGGCCAATTATTTCGGCACCTGAGGCAGAAAACACCATCACAGGCTCTCTTCTCTCACCTGGATTACCACATTTATTATTATTATTTTCAAGAGCTTCTACATTTGGGCTTTCTGCTCACTCTTACCTGCAGTTGGCTTGTTGGAAAGGTTGCTGTTCTGGTAAATAGGTTGTGGGGTCTCGTTCTGAGGCTGTCCAATCACTGGCGTCAGAGAAGGTGTGTTCACATTGGACAGGATACAACCAGTAACTCGCTGGAAGAAATAACAGAACAGAATGACAGAATTGGAAGGGATCTTGGAGGTCTTCTAGTCCAACCCCCAGACAAGTGGCTAGTCAAAGTTAGTTTGCATTTTTGTATGCTTGGTTCAAAGGTATCTACTAAAAAAAAGGGGGGGGGCTTTTGTTTTGTTTTTACAAAGCTGCCCTTACCCAATTTTATTCCCCTATTGTCAAATCTGCCAAAACCCTGGGCCACATCTTTCGCCATTTTTTCCCTCCACCCCTTTGTCAGCAAGACAGGGTGAATATAGTATTCCTGTGTTCAGATCAGACCTTGGCAAGTTATTTAGGAAAAGTACTGTCACAGTCCTAATCGTGACTGAAGCTTTCCATGTACACCTCTCAATTATCAAGAAAGATAAGCCGATAAATGCCTGTTAATCTCAATGGCTATATACTATCATCACGCAATAGATCTGTCAACATGTGGCTGGAAAGCCTTTCCTGAAAGTGGTCTTGTATCTATAGTACATTTTCTAGGGTTCAAAGGCTTCTACCTGGGAATGAAACAAAAAAGCACCCCTAAAAGTAATCCTTTGGACTGCTTTGACAAGGTTCCCCTAATGCTCTTAAGAGAAACCTAGGGCTTTAGATTTCTGGTGGTTATTTTGACCCATATACACAGCTGTACTGAAAGTGTTAAGTTTTTCATTTCCAAACTGTGACAATAGTAACAATGTCTGTGTTCAGGAGTACAGGCTAAGAAAGATGCCTAGTTCAGCCAAGACCTAGGGAAGCAGAGAAAGATTTCAAGCAAAATCATCATGTTCTAAATACTGATTTGAAGCATTGAACCTGGCTTGGGACAGGAGTGTTGACTTAACTAAGCCTTTTTGCAAGGAATCACAGGATGCTAGGCAGGAAGTGGGTAGAGGGTTTGATATCTCCAAATTACAGCTGAGTTAACATGGTTGTTTGAAAGGAATTATGTCTGGATTAACCTCTGACTACAATAACCATTTTTTAAAATTAACCAGACTGTTTTCTGATTGCCTTTATTTCTTCTTAATTTTGCCTATACTTTGCTCTATATACCCTCTCTACTATTGCAACTGAGATACATTAACAAATAAAACTCCTTCCATTTGCCTAAATTGTTCTTTGAAGAGCTCCAGATTATGCAGTCGTAATGCTGGATATAATGTTCTAGTAACAATCTGGATAGAAGAAGCAGGATGGTCTGACTCATAGATTTCTTAAGGCTTCAAGAACAGGACATCCTCATGATTACATAGCACAAATGCCTAAGGTGTTGTTCATCTTGCTAGCTGAATTTAAAACTCATTGATGGGCCAAAGATGCATTTATGTTTAAAGTCTAAAATACCTGGTAGCTTAAACAGTCCATCCTGCCCATGTATGTTTTGAAAGGCTGAGTTTTTCAAATTCCTTACATTATGCAATTGCAAAAAATGTATTTTAAAAATGTTTTTAAAATGTATCCGAAACAAAGCCTGGTTGATTTCCCTCAAATCAAGGCATTTTTATTCACCTTAACATTTTAAATTCAAAGTATACTTCTTATTGAACTAGATGCATTATTACTATGGTGTAATAATGTAATTGTCAATGCTGCTAACATCGGGTGTTATTGCTTTGATAACAGATGGAAATGCATTTATTTTTCTCTTTTGCTTTTAAAGATGATTGATGCTGGAAGGGGGGATGTGGATGAGAGTCCACTTAGTCATAACAACAATTTCAAGTTGTGGGAATTCAAGGTTACTGAGCTGAGAGTTGATAATGATTTGGTGGCTGGAGAGCTGTGGAGACAGCCTGTGTTTCAAGCTAATTGGGGAATGTGATTTATGACTGTTAGTTGGAGGAGGGAAATTGTGCTTTGCTACTTTGTGCCCAGGGGAGGGGAATTCAATTTTTGGCTTCAATTATGTAGTGTCGATATTATGCTTCTTGAATAAAAGATTCTTTAAGGTAAACAATGCCTCAAAATTCTTTTGAAGAGTTTCATCTGTTGGAACCATGACAGTAATAATTACTACTACTAATAATTATGCTGATGTTGGAAGGGACCTTGGAGGTCATCTAGTCCAACCCCCTGCTCAGACAGGAAACCCTATAACCATTTCAGACAAATGGCTGTCCAGTCTCTTCTTAAAAACTTCCAGTGTTGGAGCATTCACAGCTTCTGGAGGCAAGTTGTTCCACTGATTAATTGTTCTGTCAGGAATTTTTTCCTTAATTCTAGGTTGCTTCTCTCTTTGGTTAGTTTCCATCCATTGCTTCTTCTCCTGCCTTCAGGTGCTTTGGAGAATAGCATGACTCCCTCTTCTTTGTGGCAGCCCCTGAGATATTGGAAAACTGCTATCATGTCATGCCTAGTCCTTCTCTTCATTAAACTAGACATTCCCAATTCCAGCAACATTTGGAATGTTTTATTATGTTTTATTCTCCAGTCCCCTAATCATCTTTGTTGCTCTTCTCTGTACTCTTTCTAGAGTCTCAACATCTTTTTTACATTGTGGTGACCAAAGCTGGATGCAGTATTCCAAGTGTGGCTTTACCAAGGCATTGTAAAGTGGTATTAACACTTCACGTGATCTTGATTCTATCCCTCTGTTAATGCAGCCTAGCATTGTGTTGGCTTTTTTGGCAGCAGCAACACACTGCTGGCTCATATTTAAGTGTTTGTCAACTAGGACTCCGAGATCCCTCTCACAGTTACTACTATTGAGCAAGGTACCACCTATGCTATACCTGGTTTTTCTTGCCTAAGTGTAGAACCTTACTTTTTTCAAGGATATTTTAAAAAATATCCTTGTTTTTTTTTTAAAAAAAATCTTGTGAGTACCTCTTATAATTTTGATTAAAAGATGGCATATATACCTTTAAAATGAACAAATGCACAAGTGATTGTAAAATAAAAAGAGCAAGTTATCAAAGATTGCATTTAACTTGTTCTTTAAAAAATCAAATAATAAAGTAAATGAAATGTGTTACAGTATGCGATAACAGGAATAATATTTTTCCTGCCACCAGGGGGTGCTGTATTCTTTTGCAAAAGGCAGAAATAAAGAGGTGGAACATTATCAAGCATTGTTGAAAATTGAATATGCACCCTCAATAGAACTGAAAAGTTTGACCTATCAAAGAATTTCCATTCTTTGAATATATGGATATACATGTGTCAACATCTATAATACATTGCAACAATAGTGTAGAGTTAGTGATCAAATCTTCCTCCAACAACCTTCCCAAATGTACATCATAACTCTCAAATTCTTCTTTTCTTTTTGCCCTCCCCCCAAGTACCGCTGTCATATTCATAAAGAAATCAAATATCATTTTAAACATATTACCATAGTCTTTTTAAACGATTTGCTAAGTTCAGATTAGAGCCCAAAAATGTGCACTGTGACTTGCAATCAACAAGTTCCTTACCCCTGGCTATTTTGTAGGAACATCAGCATCACTCAAAGATTGTTGATCAATCCTTCTTTTTTAAAAGTACAGATGAGTCATGCAAAAGCCAGGAATTTTAGAAGACTCAAAATGACTCTATCAATTATTTCTGACAAATAAAAGGAGAGAACCCTGGGGTTTCCAAAACAACGGCTAACCATTTGATGCCCCTTCCGATATGTTGCCATGACTCTTGACCGGTCAGAATTGGTCAAGCTTTCCAATTGTTGTTTTTCAGAACAATGAAAGGAACAAAGGTGTTCTGTGGAATTTTCCTGGACAGGAAACACAGCAGCCATCGGAACTGTGTAGGGCCCTTTAATCGTACTGAGAAATATGCAAACAAATTAGATGTCATAAATATTTTGGGGAAGACGACTTGGCTTCCTTCCTCCTTAAGCTCATTTTCCCTCTTTGCAAAGCCAGTTTCTGAATCAAGGAAAGGGAGGAGGGTGGGGAATCAGTTCTCTCCCCCTCCCCTGTTTCTAATATATTGCTTCTCTTTCCCTACAATATTCCCTAGGTTCTTTCTCATTAGCAGAATCTGAGAGCTAAAATAAGTGTGGCAGCAAATATGTCTTTGTTTAATTTTTGCTTTATTTTAATAGTTAAGAGCCACTGTGAGAAGCTCCATTTTCACTGAGTTCGTGGCACATGGGAAGGCAGGTTCTTTTAAAAAGAGGAGTGATTTATTTTCTGCCTTTCAACATTTACCAAAAGAATTAAATCCTTTTTAATCTAGCCCTGCTAGAAATCCTTGTGATAGCTATTAAGCCCCACTAGCATCAGTTAGCTTCAGGAGCAATATTCATCAAGCCAGATGATGAAATCAGAGCGGGGAAAAAATATTCATCAAGCCACAATATTCATCAAGCCACAAATCAGAGCGGGGAAAAAAAGCAAATTTCTTCTTCAAAATCTCATGTTCTTTTGAACATTTCTGCATGCTCAAAGACAAAGCTTCAATTTGAAGGTGGTTGGCAGGGACATCTGTGTGTGTGTGTGTGTGTGTGTGTGTGTGAGAGAGAGAGAGAGAGAGAGAGAGAGAGAGAGAGAGAGAGAGAAGACAAGATGGCAGTAGTGATTGTATAATCAAAACCTTAGTTTTTTTTAAAAAAAGTCTCTTGTGCACATTTTTAAATTTTTAAACATTTTTTTTTTTTAAAAAAACCCTGTGACTTTGATTTGGCCAGTGTCTTGATTTTTTTTAATCTCTCTGCAGACTCCACAAAAGGTGGCACTCAGAATGGTTTCATTGTCTGGTCTTTAGCAGTCAGTACCCAACAATGAAACCATTCTAAGTGCCACAGCCAAATATGTAATACCTTTTTTTCCCCTTGGCATTTTTTGTTTGTTCGATTGCTTTGTTTTTTGAGGACTAGGGCAGAAGGGAAAGCAATCAAAGGACACGGAGAACCAGTCAATATTTGAAATTTCTTAGAAGCTAGAAGACAAAATGTATATGGATTTATGCACGCTGTGTAGGAAATGGAAAGGGAAACAGTTTGCTCACTCTTTTAAGACTAGAGCTTGAGTTTATTGAATGAAACAGC